ATACACACACACAGTATATATATACTGTATATACTGTATAAACATACTGTATAAACACAATATACACAAAACTCAGACACTGTTAGAAATGTAGCCTAGTATTTAGCCTAATAACATCATGCTACAGCAGTAATAACATCGGCTTTAGTCCAATGGCTCTAGCTCTCCTGGTAAATGTCATAAACTCTGGACACATTTTCCCTGTATGTTGACATGATAATGGTCGCGTTTCCCAGATCGCTCTTAGCTTAAGAAGATCTTTCACTAAGAAGGAGTTGTAAGATCGAGCTGACCCACTTTTAACACTCTTCTTAGCGCTCAAACGCTTACAGATCCAGCTGGGCTGGCACATTAATATTACACTAAGCAAGGAGATGTTACAACAGTGCGCACTGTATATGGAAGAAAAATGATAATAAGTATGTGCGTGACTTATGCGCTGAGGAAGCCTGAGGTCCGACCCGGCCCGAGTCATTTGCATATTTTTTCGGTCTGAACCGGGTTTGTTGGGCCGGCCCGACCCGTCTTGGATGATAGGACCATGTAGGCAGTGCTTGCTAACCGCTCGTATCCCCCCTTAATATGCAAAATATTAGACTGACCCAGTCTGATGTTCCACTCTGTGCCACTGCCACCTGCGGCTGTGAGGGCAGGCTGCTGCGGTCAACCGCGGCTGCGTTTTATGGGGTAAAAAACGTTCCAACCACCGGCCGGTTCGGCCTGGAACAGACCGGCCGGAATACTCCCGAACCTCCCTATGGCCAGCCCGCCCCTGACACCACCTGAGTGGCAGCTGGTTACAGTAGTTCCGACCCCCCTTCGTGGATGTGCAGTATGTGGTTCTGTGTGAAGCAGTGGCTAATGTGGCAACTTTCCTGATCTCATAATTACGAGGCATTTTCAGCAGCGGAGCAAACACTCCTTATGGAACTGTATGACAATTACAAAGATATAATTACAAAAAAAGGCAGTATGGCAACGACCAATAAAGCAAGGGAGGTGGCGTGGCAGAATATTGCCGGCAGACTAAATGCGTAAGTGACAAAGAAAATTCAGCATTTCAGCATAATATCATGTTATATAAATCCCGCATCAAAGGGACAAAATATATGTAGGTAAGAACACCAATTAAATATAACAATTTAAGTGTGCCTAATGAAATTCACTAAATGAGTAAATTAATTTTAGTGATAGACTATTTATCACATTTATCTACTGATTGCTATGTAAATTTCAGATGCTGCATTTAATCAAACTATTTTATGTGAATCATCGCATTTATCACATAATTG